TACTCCTCCGAAGCATCACCATTTCCATACCCACTTAGATCTTTACCATCCTTACCTTCCTTAGATTGGGAAGAATGTTTTCTCTTCTCACCAGAACCTGAATGGATTGAATCCTTAGAAACCCTAGCCAGACTATCCTCCTTACTACTCCTCTCTTTCTCCTTCTCTTTCTCCTTGGTTTTCATTTCCTCATCCGAATCCGAGTACGAATAATCCCTACCCTCCTTCGGACTATGCTTACTCTGCTTATGCGATTTATGCTTTGAACTCCGAGGCATGACTGTAAATATCCCAAAACCTAAACCTAAACCTCTTTTTTCAATCCCTTAACCTCCGAAACCCTAATTCACTCTCCAACACTCTAAACCCAATTCAAATCTAACAATCAACCGCCGGTTCCCCCAATCAGTAAAATGACACAAACTTCCACAAACCCTAACTCCCTTCCAGTTCCACAACAACAACAACAACAGAACAGCAATTAAACAGATTCCATCAGAATCCCCCACCGCCGGAATGCAACCGATTCGAATCTGCCGGAAAACTCGCCGGAAACTTCCAGAAGGCTCTTGACCTTAATTCTTCGAATCTGTTTTCGATATAGAATACAACAATATAGTGTACAGTATACGTATATAGATACGTATAGAGAGAGAATTTATAGAGAGAGAAGAGAAATTGGGGAAATTTATTGAGAGAGAAGATCGGAGGCGATGGGTATGTTGGCTGCTAAAAATTGAAATGTGGATTCGAATTGGGGTATCACAGATAATGGGATGTTATGTCGAAAATAACCTTGATGATTGTTTGTTTTTACCATAGAGTTAGGGCTGACACCTACTATATATACCCTCTATAAGTACTCGATTAAATATCGAACTGTTTTTAGTCAAGGGTATTTATGAAATTTCTTTATTTTACTATTGTGTAGAAGAGTCTCGAAGCAGGTGCCTCTCCGTCGGCGTGTCTACTTCTAACCGAGGGTATATATAAGATCTCAACACTTCTTACTACTATCTAGAAGAAAGTCTAGATACAACTATCTTTTTACCGATGTGTCTACTTCTATCCGGGGGTATTTATGAAATTTCTATTTTACTACTGTCTATAAGAGTTTAGAAGTAGGCTCCGACATGTCTACTTCTAGCCGAGGGTATATATGAAATTTCAATACTTCTTACTATTATTTAGAAGAGTCTAGAAGCAGTCACCTCTTTGCCGGTGTGTCTACTTCTATCCGAGGAGTATTTATAAAAAAAATTTACTTCTTACTACTTACTGTCTAGAAGAATCTAGAAGCAAAAACCTATTTATCTATGTGTCTACTAGCCGAGGGGCATTTATGAAAATTCTATACTTTTTATTACTATCTAGGAGAGTCTAGAAGCAGGCGCCTCTGCGTTGAAGTGTCAGCTTCTAGCCGGGGGTATTTATAAAATTTGTATACTTTACTTCCATCTAGAAGAGTCTAGAAGCAAGAGCCTCTTTGTTGACGTGTTTGCTTCTAGCCAAGAGATATTTATGTAATTTCTATACTTTTTCCGAAGAGGTGCTTGCTTTTAGAAGCATGTAGGTTTTCGTTGACATTGCTGCTTCTAGTCGAGGGTATTTATGAAATTTCTACACTATTTACTTTTGTATAGAAAAGTTAGAAGTAACTGCGTCTTGTCAACGTGTCTATTTCTTGCCGAAGGGTATTTATGAAATTTCTATAATTTCTCCAATGAGGTGCTTGTGCTTCTAGAATTGATTGCTCTTCATCGACGTGTTTGCTTCTAGTCAAGGGTATTAATGAAATTTCTACTTTACTACTCTCTAGAAAAGTTTGACCCATCTTCGCCGACATGTCTACTTCTAACCAATGAGTACTTATGATTTTTTTATATTTTCATTGAAGAAGTGTCTACGTGTAAACCCTTCTATATAGTAGTAGCACTTACTCTTTTTTAATTTGTTTATATTGTTCTTTTAGTCTTTTGAAAATTACACAAAAAAAATAATATAAATTTAAGGAAAATCTACTTATTATTTGGATTATAATTCATGAATAACAAAAAAAATAATCATGAACAACATGAAAAAATGTAAACAAGTTGAATTAGATATGTTTATAAATCTCCAAGTTTAGTTTGGTTCTAAAGCGAGCTCAAGTTCGATTGAATTTTTAGGAGTTTAGATTTCATCTTATTCGTAAATTTAATGATATCAAATTTAACTAGAATTTTCTCGAGCTTTTTCCGCTAATAGCTTATGCAATAGTCGACCTTATAAAGCTCGCTAAACTTTGTTTTCCTCTCCTTTTACGTATTAAGTAGAAAATAATTGCTCTCGTTCTACAAGCAACTTGTTTCAAGCTTTGAAAATTAGTCAAGAAGCGAGACATTAATACTTTTAGAGACATTGGAGCGTCTAATATAATTGACCTTCTCTCTTCATATGTGAAACTTCAAAGCATATATTAGATACACATAATAGTAAAAATTAGCATAGAGATGGAGCAAATGTTGCTTTAAGAGTCATTAACAATTGAATTTAGGTGAATTTAACCTCATAAGAAATTAGTAAAACTAACTACAAAGACAAACTTCATAAAAAATGTCGTTAACTAATTTGTAATTATAATTCCATCTACGAGTCACGATTCTTTATTTCTTTCAAACCACGTAAAAAAAATTGAGGAGTTATCAAAAATAATTTGTCTACCTCACAAAGATATAAATAAGGCATGTACCCACCATTTTCAGACGCCGCTTGCGTATGTTATTGTTATAAGTCATGATTCTCAACGAGTACATCCTACAAGTGTTCAATGTACGACACTATTTATTTATATAAGTAAATGTAAGATGTGAAATCTACGAGTATCTATAATATTATATTTTAATAATTGAATTTACTGTCAAATATTTAATGAATCGTATAGAGAAAAAAATTCATTTCGTCCGGATTTTGGCTATTGATAGGAACAATTTATGCCCAAATTTATGCAGATTCAATGTTTACACTTAGATTAATTAACACATGATATACAACTTTTGTCAATACTTTTTTTTTTTATCTCTAATTGTGTTTAATCATATATATTAAACATTTTTAAAAATGCACACTTTTATTTAATTAACTATATCTTCTACAAGACCCCTCTCACATGTGTGGTCCTGACTTTTAGAAATTCCTTTTGATAACAGGTAGCAACATAGCACGAACCTAATACCTTTATCTACTCTGATCATCATGTTAAAGCATATAATCATCTCTTCTAAAAGCTTAAACTAATAAAGAAAACACAACATATTCAATGTAATTCTACAAATAAATATAAAAATTGTGATGTACCTTTAACGCGATCCCTCACGTGTGGTCCTGATTCTTTTACAAGTATGGTGTAAACATAAGTGCAAGTAAATCTTTTTCCAAGGAAGATAGACAAAAGTTAAAAAGATAATGTACTATCTCAAACTGTAACACCATTCATGTGTTTCATTTGTCAATTGAAGATATCAAAACAAAAACAGATTGGTGGTCAGAATTTAAAAGGACAAGTTACAGTTTCCCATTTCTACAAAACACTACTTCTTCTCTTCTCATCCTCCACCATCATCTTTCCCAAATCCAAGTTCTTGAAAAAATCAAAACCATGGCTTCTGCTTCTTCCTTTCAACTCTCAAGCCTTCAAATTCAAACCCCACCTCTTAAAAAATCAAACTTTCTTGGTCAATCTGTCAATCTCAACCTCAGTAGTAGTGTTCATACCAAATCAACTATGAAATCATCTTCAAACTCAGTTACACCAATAGCAAAATTCAATCTTTATGAGATTCTTGGAGGTAGAGGTCTCTGTAATGGAGAAGAGGGTATAGAGAAAGAGCTAAAAAAGTCGATTTCCGAAGAACAAAAGGCAGCAGGATCAGCAGCAGCAGCTAGTGACGATAATAATCAAGAAAACAAGGAGACTGGGGAGATACCGGAGGACGGATTTGAGAAAGAAATGATGGGGTTTACTGGCGGATTTCCGGGAGGTGAAAAGGGTCTAAAGAAATTCATAGAGAAAAATCCACCACCACCCAAGAAAACAGAATCAAGTATGGTTTCTGGTTTTAATCAAAGTCTTGTGAAGAAACCAAAACCACCTGAATTACCACTTTTGTTACCTGGGATGATTGCTATTGTCAAGAATTCTAATAATCCATATTATATGTATTGTGGGATTGTGCAGAGGATTACTGATGGGAAAGCTGCTGTGCTTTTTGAAGGTGGGAATTGGGATAGGTTGATATCTTTCAGGCTCGAAGAACTCGAACGTAGAGAAAAAGGACCACCAATGGTGAATCTGAAGTCTGTGATACTTGAGAAGATGGTAGAAAACAGCTCTGAAGCTTGAATTGCTTCACTTTTTATTGAGTAGATTGTTTGTTCTTTTGTCTTTTGGGTTGTTGTACATACAAGCTGTAAGTTTTGTAATGGCAATGGCATAATAAGATATGCAGAATGCTTTTGTGCGGGAAGAATCTGTTCCGACTGAGAAGTTCAACTCTCGAAAGAACTCTTAACAAAAACAACAAAAAAAATAAGAATCAGATAATTCAGATTGGTAGAGGGGTGGGTTCATTGTCCAGAGAGTTTCAAACAACGTACAGATTGTTTAGTCAAGTATTCAATATGATTGCACAAGATCTAGCTTCGTTCAAGTAATGGATCCTAGCCAATTGTAATGTTCTTCTGATCAATTCACAGATCATTAGATTCCATTAGCAATGAGGATCTCAAATATCACACTTGATCAAAAGAGATTCAACAACGAAAAGAAAGTCTAGCAGAAGTAATGACATACAGTATTTAACAGTGTGTAATAAAACAATTCTTAGTTTTCACAAGCATAAGGAAACTCTGACGCCACATATGGACCATATGATATGGTGGATTTTAGACTCCATCCAATTTGACAGCAGGTCGATATCGATGTAGATAAGTTCAATAATGCTAGCTAGCCTGAGAGAGAGTATACAATTGGTGCAAACTGCAAGATCTTGATAGATTCTCAAACAGATGGACCAAACTTTTTTCATGCATAGTCTGCAAATGTTTACATTCAGTATCAAAGGGTTCAAATTCAATAATGCTTAACAATGGAATGGGGTAGTAAGCCAATCCACACATTAACCTCCACTGTCTAATGATCATTAATTAAAGACGTCATTTGCAAAATACACTTATAATTCCAGAAAACTGTGTCAGTTACACCATACATGCAAAAGAAATCACCCAAATGTAAGCCAGATGTCGAAAACTATGTCCTCTGTCTGCACATCTTCGCGTCAAAATTAGTTGCAGCCACCCAACTGTAAAAGTGGAAAAATATTTTAAGGGCGGTTATTGGCAGATTTGCATAGAACTATCTCTAGAAAAAATTGTTTGGCTTGAACTTTATCAAATATGGCATCGTGAATCTTTGTGTTCCCAGGTCAGTATCTATATGTTTGTGTTTACATCTTACATGCAGATTGCACAATGTGAAAGGATGGAAATGAAAATTATATAATTAACACAGTAAGGCATGGACATATTGATTGAGGCCCTGTACATTCTTTCACTGCTCTTCCAATTACGAATTTGCTTTTGTTTAGACAGTATCTCAATTAGACTAAGAGAGAAAGATTGTGTTGACTGTTGCCCATACAAAGAACCTTTAGATGAAACCCTTTAATTTCAGTAGCTCCTATCTATGTAATCCCACAAGTGGGGTCTAGGGAGGGTAGCGTGTACACAAACCTTACCCCTACCTTAGAGAGGTTGTTTCCGATAGACCCATGGCTCAAAACAGATGAAAAAGCCGACAATAACAACAAGAAAATACAATAATCAGAGCTAAAGAATTATCCAATAGAAATAGAAATCTAAGAATGCGAAAATACAAGACTAATACTAATACTCCATGAATGGGAAAGCAAAGCACTCAACAATATAAAGAAATATATGATATAGCCCACACTATATAAAGAAATATATAGGGTATTCCTTATAATAAAGTTCGAGTTCACTTGGCACAAAACAGAAGAAAACAACAACCTTAATGATTTATAACTAGATTATCTTATTAAAGGTTCCTATATTCACTAAGACTTTCCCAAGTAAATGATAAGCTTTTTTCTTCTTTTTTTTTGTTCCTACCATGTGAAGTGCTGACTAGTTAATACTCCCTCCATTTCAATTATGTGACATAGTATAAGAAAGAAAGAAAGACTTTGAAGCTTGTGATGTAAAAAATGCATGAGACTTCATAGAAATACAAGTATGTACTGAGGGTAAAACAAAAAATTTGAAGTTAAATTATTCCCAAATTCAGAAAGGTGTCATACTTTTTGGAATGGACTAGTAAGGAAATAGTGTACGTAAGGGAGCAGTTTATACATACCAAAATGGACTCAATTTCCTCCTGAGACACCGGTGTTCTTTTAGGTTGGTCAGAAGCCTTCCCTGCAACAGACATGCTAGATGGGGATCTTGAGAAGAATGTTTGAGGAACATTATCAGTTGCGGAAGTTTTCATATGTTGTGAGTTCTGCTGCGTGGAACCTGCAGAGCAAGAAACTTCTGAATAAAGAATATGGAAAATCTGCAAACAATCAATCACGCTATAAGCTAAGCGCAAGTAGTAAATCATAGAATTGCATGCCAGACAGGACTCCATGTTAAACAAGCAAGATCCTCTATCAGCACCTGCTCCAACTCCAGCCTCCCACCTTTTCTGTTTACTGACTGAATTTCAAAAGAAGATGTCCTAGAACATAATAACGACCCTAGGCATCACACACTCAGAAGAATAGGAATACGATAGGGATAAATCCAAGGAATTGGAATAGTAAGATATTAACTTGCTGCATCAAGAAGGTTAGAGATTAGAAGCTATTGTTTATGCATCTAGTTGCACCATAGACTTCTAAACTAGAAACTTTTGCGTATGCACTTTGATCTTGATGCAAAAGGAAACCAGTGCCTGATTGAGGTGAATGGGATGGAACATGCATTTTGGATTGAATTTTTTTCACTTGAGCAAGTCATGTTTGTTGCTTAAGAGGAGCAATCTTTGAAATGTTAATATAGAAGTGATTTCAAAATAAATATTTTATCGATATAGGATACTCATATTGATAAAATGATTTTAACCATTTATTGCAAATTGTAAAAACGGGGATTTTACCCTCATTATAAACACCTTTCTTCCTTTTCTTCCTTGGTCAGAACATCCTACATTCTAAGAAGGTTGAGAGAGTTTGAGACTGGGAGTTAACAATCTTTACTAGTACCTATCAACTAATTGAAAAGAACTTAAGATATCTTCTCAGAATAGTTCAATTTCTAAATGAATTAAGCAAGCAAACACAATTACTCAAAACTTCTACTATTTTCAATCAGACAATCTCAAGCTTTTTCCTAAATGCAGACATTTACCATGACGAACAAATATAGTAAAAGCCGAAAAAGGAAGATGTGGACCATGCCCCTCTCCCCATATCGAACCACCTTGTCAATAGCTTCTTCACATAAAGACAAATTGATGGGCACAGAACACTTCAGTAAGATTAAAAAAATAACATAAATCTATTAGTACTGTTCCTCAAATAGGGCAGAGCCACCTATGGGAAGGGAAAGCGCTGCTAATGTGGCTACTAAGCTTATTCTTTGGGAATCTCTTACTAAGATGAGAAATACACCGATAAAGCTGCTAGTACCAGGTCAACTCATATTGGCCAAAGTGGAAGAGAAGAAAATGGTATATCCGTTCCCAATAATCTTTATGAAAAGACTACCATGATTTTCAAATCTATTTTCGAAAATGCTTTCCTTGAGACAAGAGTCTATCGTGAACAACCTCTCTATCTCACACAAGGTAGGGGTAAGGTTTGCATACACCCCACCCTCCCCAAACCCCACTTGTGAGATCACACTAGACATGTTGCTATTGTAAAAACCTTCCATGATTTCCAAACGAACCGAGGGAGAGTCGAGGCATGAAAATCTTATCTATGATATGTTTATTTCCGAGTACTTATCATCCGTTGCGTATTCAATTGAATCCCCTTCACATAAGAGAACTTAGGGGTAAAGGGTGTTCAAAAATTACTTGAAATCATAAGTTAAAATCTCAAGTGTGTCCTCATATATTCTTCAAATCCCTTGCCCAAATTTCTGACTCCGCCACTGGCAACCCAAACTAGTTGAAGTCGGCTATCTGAATCCTCTATATAAACCCTGCTCCATTTAGACATGCTTCACCCCATTCTTTCTCCTTAACAATAAACCAGTAGTTCTATAACAGTAAATCAGAATCAATCTAGCTGGTATCAGCTACAATATGGATTCTTTATATCCATTTAGCTCAATTTGGACCTATTTCTTTCCAAGACTTCATCTTTACAACAAATTAGTGCTTTCTAACACTATATCTCACAACTATAAACAAAAAAATACGCGAAAAAAAAGCATATTTCAAGAAGATCAAACAAGTCAATAAATACATAGATAAAAAGAAAATTAGGAACACCCAGAAGGAGAAAAAACAAACAGGGAATACCAGAAGAAATTTTTGAGTGTCGTTGAGGAAATTTGATGCGTGGGATTCTCTTCATGATATGTGCTGCTGCTCCAGCCATTGTTTCGTCTCCAAAAACTGGAAAAAAAGGTCTAAAAATTGGGTCTTTGTGAAGAACAAAAACTTCAAAGAACAAAATAGGGAAATATATTATCAATATCAACTTAAGTAAAACAAAATAAGGATATGTACCCATTGAATATATTCTACTATATTATAAAAGAGAGTTTAGTTTCAAGTATAATATATAATATTTAAAATTGGGACTTTCTTGAATATTATATATTATATTTATTATATAGTATAACTTGGGCATAAACTTTCTTTTAAAATAATATAGAATATATATATATATATATATATATATATATATATATATATATATATATATATATATGTATATATATATATATATGTATATATATCACAAATGGAAAAGTCTCAATCAAGAAAGCAACATATATCATTTACAAATGACTTAAAAAAACTTTAAAATATTTAAAAACTATATAATAAAATAGGTTGACTCTCAGAATTCTATCAGGCTCACATATATTATGATAGAAAAAATAACACATATCATTTTAATATTACCAAAAAAGTATTATAAATAATAATAAATAACAACTTAAAATATCTTAAAGACATTTTAAAAGGGTTAATTTTGTAATTTTATCCATATCACATAAATTAGGACAAAGTGACCAGTAATGTACATTATTTCAAAGTTACATAAAAATATTATAAATCACAATAATTAATAATGTCACGCCCCAAACTCAAAGGGCGCAACTGACTCCTAAAGCCAAAACTCAGGCCCGAGCCGACCCTGCTGAACCATTTGCTATTAGCGCATGGCAGTCACATGCAATTAAGAAAACAAACAAGTATATCTCGGCTTAAAACTAAGCCCTCGGCCGGCAAGGCCCCTGTCAACAGATCTACAAAAGAACCAACTACTCCCAAGAGTTCATATAAAGAAATATCCAACTAGCACATAAGTCCTGATTGGGCCGTCGAGGCCACCATGATATCTATACCAAAACTAAAAATAGGTAAATATCAGTACAATACATCAAACAGCTCACAAGCTTCAGCAAACCAACAACATAGGCCAGCATGGCCATAACGTAGCTATAAACCCCACACACTAGTCTGCAAGCCTCTAAGAGTAGTAAAGATTGGTAGGACAGGGCCCCAGCCTACCCATGAGAATATATACAACAAAAGTTAACAAACCTCCCAACTCTGGCAGCTCCGGAGGAAAGGGGCTGACCAACCGGATAAAAGTCAATCCTGCTGATAACGAGGTCTACTCGGTCGTCTGTCAGGACCTGCATGCATGAATGCAGCGCCCCAAGGCAATGGGGCGTCAATACAAAATAATGTACAGAGTATGAAAGGCAATAGACTATGATGAGGTATCCTGATATACTGGAATAATCTGATAAATAAATTAAGGATAAGATAATTATACTGACCTGCTTCTAAATCTAAATTTATCAAAAATAATAAAACAACAACCTAACCAAGCCCCCATAAGCTCGGTAGGTACAAACAGCACACAAGACCACCTACTCAGGCCCCCATAAGCCCGGAAGGTGCCAATCAGCCTGTATACCCCTGTCGGTAGTCTCCTAGCCCCGCAGGCAGTCACATAGCCCTCTTAGGCATCAACATAGCTTATAGACATCTCATAGCCCTCTTAGGCAACAACATGGCTATGTAGGGAGTACATAACCTTCTTAGGCTTCAATATATATCCTTGTAGGCAACTCATAACCCTTCTAGGCATCAATATAGCCCCGTAGGCAACTCATAACCCTTCTAGGCATCAATATAGCCCCGTAGGCAACTCATAGCCCTTCTAGGCATCAATATAGCCCCGTAGGCAACTCATAGCCCTTTTAGGCATCCATACAGCCCTGTAGGCAGAATATAACCATGCTAGGCATAGATCACATTCCTGCAGTTAACAACAATAGCCCAAAGGCAACAATAACAATCCAACAGCTAAAAGTGAGCAATTTAGTTATAGGCAACTTATACAATTAGCCTCTAAGTCGTGTCCAACATACGAATGTTACTACTGAATAAGAATCCCGATAAGAGAGGATTATACGCACTAGAGCAACCAATAATCAACAATGATGGCCACAAGTATAACAACGATAACATCTCAATTACATTGCTCCTAAGCTTTAAGGAACATGCCATAGGAAGAGAATAGCCTTAACATACCTTTTTCGCTAAATTCACGTCGCCTAAAGACTTTAACTCGTAACTCCCTCGATACTACAACAAGGTAGGACCGTAATCAACACATAAAATAAAAGATACCATGACAATACAATAAAAGATATGTGTTTCCGTCGCAAATTGCTATTTGGTGCTTATAAAAGCTAGAGTCGATGAAAGAAGGGTCTTACCTCGATCTTAGCTTCGTAATTCACCTCAAAACCTTTAAATATATTCAAACCCCTGCTGTCCCAACATTAAAATGTGATATGCTACGCAATCGATAAAACAAATTATACCACGATGATGAGCCCAACGCGTAGAACAACTTTCGTCAAGAACTTACGTCGAGAAAATCGATATTTTACTTGATCTTAAAAATGGGTTTCTATGTTTTCTCTGTATAATTAGCTTAAAAATGAAGAAAAAACGCGAAGAAGAAGATATATACACTTTCCACCGACCTAGGGCCCCACCTCACGCGCCTGCTTGCGCAGTCCCATGAAAATGCGAATATCTCTCTATTCTGAAGTCGTATGAATGAACGGTTTGATGCGTTGGAAACTAGACTCGTAGACCTTCGATTCAATAGTTTGTGGGCCCCATAACTCTTTATAGATTGGGAGAAAACCTCCAAGACATTTGACCCAAATTTCAGAGAAATCTTTAAGAAGGAAATTACGATAACTTCTGCCAACTTTTATTTTGCCACTTACCTAACTTGAGATGCAACACCTGAACACTTAAAATAGGACATACCACATCATTCTTAATTTATTACTCACCCTCCTTGTCTTTCCACGAATATACGAGTTAATTTAGACGTTTTGAAAAGTCGGGGTGTTACAAATAACTTCAAACATTTTTTTTAAAAAAAATGAAAATTTGGATGATTCTCCAAATTTCATTTGTATCACATAAATTGAGACAACAAAAATAACATATATTGGGTCCATTTTAATTTTATTTTTTTAATTTTTTTATATTTAAAAATTGTGTAAAAATACTATAAATCATGATAATTGACAACATAAAATATGTTTTGAAAAAAAATACAAAAAATTCCACTGATTCTTGAAGTGAATCTATAGTAAAAATACTATAAATCATGATAATTGACAACATAAAATATTTCAAAAATGTTGTATGTGGTAGTCTTATTATACCTTAAATAGCATCAAAGAAAGTAAAAGTTTGTGATAAAAAAACTTACTTTTTTATCCACGCAAACAATCGCTTCAAAAACTCGATTATTAGCCCCAAAACATACAATTTATATTATTGGGCCCGTGCATAGCACGATATGTATATATATATATATATCTCACAAATGGAAAAGTATCAACCAACAAAGCAACATATATCATTTACAATTGACTTAAAAGCATTAAAAATTACAATAATTATCAATTTAAAATATTTAAAAGCTATATAATAACATATGTTGACTCTCAGAATTCTATCAAGCTCACATATATTGGGACAGAAAAAATAACACATATCATTTTAATATTACCAAAAAAGTATTATAAATAATAATAATTAACAACTTAAAATATCTTAAAGACATTTTAAAAGGGTTAATTTTGTAATTTTATCCATATCACATAAATTAAAACAAAGTGACCAGTAATGTACATTATTTCAAAGTTACATAAAAATATTATAAATCACAATAATTAATAACTTCAAACATTTAAAAAAAAAATGAAAATTTGGATGATTCTCCAAATTTCATTTGTGTCACATAAATTGAGACAACAAAAATAACATATATTGGGTCCATTTTAATTTAATTTAATTTTTGTATATTTAAAAATTGCGTAAAAATACTATAAATCATGATAATTGACAACATAAAATATGTTTTGAAAAAAAATACAAAAAAATCCACTGATTCTTGAAGTGAATCTATCGTAAAAATACTATAAATCATGATAATTGACAACATAAAATATTTCAAAAATGTTATATGTGGGTAGTCTTATTATGCCATAAATAGCGTCAAAGAAAGTACAGGTTTGTGATAAAAAAGCTTATTCCTTTATCCACGCAAACAATCGCTTCAAAAACTCGGTTATTAGCCCCAAAATATATCATTTATATTATTGGGCCCGTGCATAGCACGGGCAACATTATCTAGTTATATTATAAAAAGTTAGAAACTTGAAAAGTTGAATTTTCAAAATTGTAATTTTTGAATTATTACTCTATTTTAAAATTGTAATTGCACTAAATTAAATCACTTGAGCATAGGGTCTTTAAGAAATCGTGGTTCTACCTACACGAGATAATGGTTAAGTCTACCTATAATCTGTTTTTTTTATTGAAACTTACATAAATTTCACTAGTTTAAGAGCTTGCTTAAATACACTCTATTTTGCAATATTACGTATGTTACCAGATTTTGATGCATCCAGATACGTCTCTCTCTCTCTCTCTCTCTATATATATATATATATATATATATATATATATATAGTCAAAATTAGGTGTAATTTATTTTAGATATATTGTATCTATGTGAATTCACATGTATTTGGGATACATAACAACCCTCGCTCATCACCTAGATACGTGCGAATAATACCACATATTCACATGTATATGGGATACATAACAACCCTCGCTCATCACCTAGATACGTGCGAATAATACCACATATTCACATGTATTTGGGATACATAACAAATCTCACTCCCTATTTGGCTCGCCTCCCTCCCTAATTCACTGGCCTCTCTCCATAATTTAGTGTATCTAGTAGCAAAAATACATGTATCTACGTGTATCTTCCTCGATTATGGTATGAAAACCTTAATTAACGATAAGACAAGTAATATTTTGAAAGTGCTAGTAATAATAATAATAATATACATATTTTTTTAATTAATAATATATATATATAGTGA